TTCCACTCTGTCATCTGGCCTTTCCCCCTCTCCAAACCCCAAACTGGTGGCAGACAAAGCATCCACCCCAGAGCCACGACACGCCAAAGGAGAGGAGCAAGAAATTCCTCCTCCAGGACAGCTTGTTCTAAGGGATACGATTCACAGATGGGCACAACGTGCTGAGAGAGCAGAGTCCTTTGGCCACCATCCATCCCGGGCTCAGCCTCTCCCGACAGCAGAGGGTGCCCGGGGGCTGGGAATCCTGAGCTGGAGACGCTGCCTGGGGCCATCAGCTCCCACAGGGCTCATTGGAGCTAGAAATCCTGTGTCAGAATAAAAGACACTGGAGGTCAGACACAGGCACAGCGTTGTAGGAGTACTGAGCTACAGGCAGGAGCAGGTCTGGGTTATGGGGAGGTGGGGGTTTGGCCTCTAAAGAGGAAGAAGAAGGTGTGAGGAAGGGAATTTTTGCAACCTGTATTAATTCAGGTTATGGTGGGTTCCTGCTGTGCAGTTTGTTGTGCTGTTCCCTAGAAAGCAGAGTCCTGTGGGCACAGGGTAGTTGGGGTGCAAGGATGGTGACTGGGTCTGCTCTTGTCTTCTGGGTGACACTAGGGACGTATATATGTGAAAATACATGTCTGTGTCTCTCTCTATATATATTTTTAACCAGGAAATACTCAGCTGTGAACACCCTTGGTGTGGCTTTGAGACCAGGGACAGTCACCAAACTGCCTTTGGCCACCTCTGCAGGGAGCAGGAGCATCATCCCTGCAGGTCCCTGCTCTGCTGGGGCCACAAATGGAGGCAACGGGGGCTTGTGATCCCTCAGCCCCCGTCTCCTCCTCACTCAAGATGGGGCAGCTACAGCGAGGGGCACACAGGATTGAGCAGGACAAGCCTTTCTGGCAGCCTGATGCACTGGGGGACACGTAGACTTGCGAGCTGTCCCTGTGTGACCCTGTGCCCACCGGGCTGAGGCTGCCGCAGCGATGCTGCTTGATGGGAGCTTTTAATGTGCCGTGGAGCTGGTGCGTGAAGGGTGAGGAGCCTCGGGGCTGGAGGATGCTTGGGACTCAGGGAAAGGAAGGAGAGGCTGGCTGGGCTGGGGGGGGGGGCGCCTGCCC